TCTTGGCTTCTCCATACTATAATAAAAACAATGTTTTCATAGCCAATTTATAGTATAATTAAACAACAACAGATCTTTGGTCTCAAGAACCTTCAATTTAATAGGTTTCATATATTTTAAGATTAGCTTTTGGAGCTAGTTTTGATTTCAAAAGGCAGTGAAACAGGGAAAATACTGTTATCCCTGATTTTTCCTTCTTTCTCCAACACCCACCCAAAACACTCATAACCCCATAACCTCTACACACTTATGCGATTTTTTCAAGTAGTACCTAATTTATTTAATACCACTCTAAGGCCAGCTCTTCATATGTTCTTCTGCCATAGCAAATTGGAAAGAGAAAAACGCCATTAGTACCTGAAATTTCCTTTTTCCAGGATCATCTACGAAGTAGGGGGAGCAGGTAAGCAGGTGAGACAATTTAGTGACTAAGATTATAAGCTTCATAGTTTGAGTGCTCTAATTTGTGGCCTCTGCTACTTGTGAAATATCACACAAGTGTTTTTTTTTAAATTGTACTTTAGGTTCTGGGGTACATGTGCAGATCATGCAGGATTGTTGCACAGATACATACATGGCAAGGTGGTTTGCTGGTGTTTTTATTAATAGCATCTGTCAAATGGACAATAAAACTGTTTCCACTTGTTATGAGGATCTAATTACATAATCTCTATAAAACTCTCCACGTTTTGTGTGGTAGTAAGTAGCCAACCACTAATAGACATTAATACTAATTCTTGTCTGGAAAAGCATCCAGAGTTATAAATTATGCCTAACTACATTTATTCTTGTTATTGTGGCTGTTTTTAACAGATTCATTATTGCAGCTATACAGAAAATCATCTGTCATTCAAATGGTAACACATTATTTAGGGGAGTCTTCTGCAAGTCAACTCATTGGTACATAGTCATCACTAGAATTTAATGTGTAACAAGAACCATATTGAATTTCTGTGTGATAGATGGAGGCATTTGATATTATTTAGATGTAAAACATTGGTGTCTCTTTTCAACCACAAATAAGGCTCCAACACTGCTATTGGGAAATGTACTGTAGGGTTGCAGGCATTCCTCCAGCCCGCCTTCATGTAGAGGTGGATAGCCCTCAATTAAGGTAAGAAAACAGGTCTGGAATTTCCACATCAAAATATCATCTCTGCCATTTACACAACCAACACGAATCTCTAGTTTACCTGTTCTGGCTTTCTACTAGTGACTCTCATCTCAAATTACTCCACACAACTTTTAGTCATAACCAAACACCTGATCATTGTAGTAGCTATGTAAGCCCCTAAGGTCTCCAAGCATGAGTCCTACCCTAAGCCAGATATCCGTAAAACCACAGAGTTGGAGCATGCTATGCCTGACCTCTTATTGTGCCTTCCACTTCACATAAGCTGCCTCCAATTGTTGCAAAAATATCATCAATGACATTATTCATTTTTTCATTATGAAAACCTCCAAATGATAAATTTCTCTCTAATCTCCAGGGCAGAATAACAATATAAATACAGTTGACAAACTGCTTAACTTCCCATTTCTGGATAACGAAAGGTTTATAACACTCCATGTACTGGGTTGAAGTTCTGAGTTAAATTTTGAGCTCAGTTCCATTAGTTTTTCACAATCACCTTTTCTTTGATCATTTTAAATTGCTTCATATTTTTAAAATAATTTTTATCTGATTTTCATAACACTCAATTCAAAAATGGTTCCTGCCATCTGTCTGTTGAGGCACTAAGCTCACTGCTGTCTGCATGTGGTCTCGGCTCTCATGGAGCCATTTAGCTGCTTCGGATCATCTTGCCTGTTCTCATACCCATCTCTGCTCAACAGCTTATATTACTCATCTGTTTATAGCAAGCTCTGCCGAATAAATAAGGCAAAAGATTTATTCCCAGATGTGGTTTCCAACTCTGATCTCTGGTCTTCTGAGTGATCTCCTTTGTTTGTAGATTACTGTCTCATTTTTCTTTGACTTTTTGTGTAAAACATCCTTGAGGACTCATCTATTTTTTGTGTCACCATTTTCTCAGCAAGGATTTTATCTGAAACAATTTAAACCCGCTGCTCTACTGTGACTGCTCTTCTCAGATTTCTAAAGACTTCTCAGTTATTAAATACAGATGGTCCCCAACTTATGATGGTTCAACTTAGAAGTTTCCTACTTTATGATTTTGTGAAAGTGGTAAGCCTTCTGTAGAAATCACACTTCGAATACTCACACAACCATTCTTGTTTTCACTTTCAGTACAGTATTCAAAATTACATGAGATATTCAATTCCTTATTATAAAATAGGCCTTGTGTTAAGTGATCTTGGTTAATTGCAGTATTCTGAATATGTTTAAGGTAAGCTTGGCCAAGCTAAAATGTGTTGTAGATTAGGTGTATTCAATGCATTTTTTATTACAATAGTTTCAACTTACAATATATTTATTGGAATATAACCCCATTGTAAGGCAAGCAGCATCTGTGAAATAGTTAATTGTCAAACTTTATCTTTTTCCAATAGCACTTGACGCAGGTGTTCACCCCTTCTTTGTAAGTACACTGTCCTCACTTCCTTCTTAGGGACTCCCCACTTGCTCAATCATTGCTCTGTCTTCTTCGTTAGCTCCTCTTCTCCCATTGTTAAAGTTGGAGTCTTCCAACAATTTGTCCTTGGACCTTCAGTTCCTCGTTTGTTGACCTCATCTAGACTCTAGTCTTGAAATGCCATCTATATTCTGATGACTGTTGTTTTGACAAAGTCATTGGTCATAAAATGTCCCCAGCCTATTATAACTGAGGCCAAATCTTTATTTAAATTTCCCCAGCCCTAAAATTATTAGAAGCATTCCTGTGTCCTCTCTTTCACACTGTACATCCAATCTCTCAGAAAATACTATTGGCTTGAACTTCAGAAAACATCCAGACACCAACGCCTCTCACAAACTCCATTTAAGTTTAGGTCACCATCATATCTCACTTTGATGACCACAATAGCTCCTCACGAGTTCTCTGCTTCTATCATTTTCCTACTACAATCTATTCTTTTAAGACGTAATGTCATCCTTCTCAAAAGTCTCCAGAGGCTCCGAATTCCACTAGAGAAATAGCCAAATTCCTCCCAGTGGCATACCATTACCTCTCTAAATTCATCCCCTTGTTCACTTCATATTGGCCTCTTTGCCAATTCTCCAGCACACAAGGCATGTGGCCACCTCAGGGCCTTTGCACAGCTTTCCTTTTACTGGAATACATTAATCCTTTTATATTTTGTGAGGGTTATTTTGACCACTCAATTTAAAAATTACGGCCAACTCTCCACACTCCTATTCCCTATGCATTTCCCTTTCTCTTTTCTCTGATCTACGTTTTTAAAACATCCATTTAATTTAATACTTTCTAACATACTGCATAATTTACTTATTACATTTGTTGTCTATTTTCTGTCTTGCCTGGAATATACTGAAGACTAAATATTGGTTCATCGAACATGGCAAGAATATCTATATTGATAAGCATTCTTAAAGATGACAGAATGTACTCTAGCTAATTTGAGGAAAATTATGAGATAGTTCTCTTTATCTTCAGTACAACGTAAGTAAAAGAATAGATGACTTTTTGATAATTCCCAGAAGCACATGGTAAAAGTTTCCAGCTAAAAGGGCAGCTGCTGTCAACACTTTTTCCCATAATTAGAAAGTAGCCAGATAAAGAAGCTGTTGTCACTATTCAAGCCCTACAAGAAAAACAAATCCACTTGCCAGCATTTTTGACAGAATATCCCATCTCTTCATTCATGACTGCCATTCTGAAAATGTCCAGTTTGCTAAGATCTAGGTCATAAACACAACCATAGCTGAAAAGCAATCTGATACATGTAGCTTTTATCTTTCTTTATATTTGTGGATGCCACACACCCTAAGAGGGTGTGTAGTAAGCCAATTGCATTGCTGGTCACAGCCCACCCTTGTGGCTACTCAACATCAGTATGTACATGAACTCCCACACTTAACACTTCCAGGTAACAACAGCTACACACCGCACATAAATGAAAATGCACTGACCTTCTCTCCAAAGTAGATAGTTCAAAAGTTCATCAAGCATTTCATCTACTGCTGGATGATTAGCTCTCCTCACTCAGGCATGTTCCTCTCTCACTAGGCTGCAACTTTTGGGAAAAATGATTTAGACTACTCTATCATGCTTATAGAAAATTCTGGCGAAAACAGAGGGAAAGCATCACATATATACCAGAGCTAGAAGAAAAATAATATTTTAGTCTTCAGTACTACAACTAGTCACAAGGCGACATAATTCACAGCTTCCTTCCTCCATTACATATTCCACCTTCTATTTGCTCCCACGCAGCTCTAGGGATGGCCCCCAAAGGTTCTGGAGAATTCTAGGTATTTTTTCTCTCACCTTGTTCTATGTAGCAACAACCTTTCATTTATTTGATAATCAAGAACAGTCACCCTGACAACGGTTGGTTCTTTGCCTTTTTTTCACCTTTTACTGCTAAGATTTAAATTATTTATATGATCATATCTGATATTTCCCTTTGGTTTCTTTTATGCATTAATAGCTTTTTTATATCCAGCAACTTTTTATTAACATACAGTGTCTTAGCAATACTATTTTAAAATATTATAATCTATCTGCAATATATTTTGAGATCTGGTATTGTTCTAGCCTTATATATGCTATTTCTATTCTAATTCTTTATACTGTATACAAATATCACTGCTTTTATAGGTTTAGAGTTTTATGGGGTTTTTTTAGTCATTCAATTTAAAAGTATTATTCATGTTAGTCACAGTGTTAGGTGATAAGGATAATAGGGAGATAAGATATCTTTATAGTCACATTCTTATAAATTGTAATGGTTAATAAATAAGCAATTAAAATAATTTCAGAAAGAACAATGCATCAGAAAAATAAATGAGATACCATAATTTTTATTTTATCTTTTCATTTTTTTTCTTCTTTAATTTTTTTCTTTATTTTTCACATCAGACAACTAAAGCATTGATATCATAACAAGATTTGAGGGAGGCACATCTCACACATGAGCATGAAACTCCAATCAAGGATACTGTGATTTTAAAAAATATATATATCAAAAATAAAGAACACTGTTTTAATAGCAAGTCCAGTGAAGATCTCTTCGAGAAGCAATGATTAGATTTACTTTTTTTTTTTTAAGACAGAGTCTCGCTCTGTCACACAGGCTGGAGTGCAGTGGCACGATCTCTGCACACTGCAACCTCTGCCTCCCTGTTCAAGTGATTCTCTTGCCGCAACCACTCGAGTAGCTGGGACAACATGTGTGTGCCACCATGCCCAGCTAATTTTTGTATTTTTAGTAGAGGCAGGGTTTCACCAGGCTTTTCTTTTCTAGGAGAATTTTTATTACAGCTTCGGTTTCATTATTTGTTATTGACCTGTTCAGATTTTTGGATTTCTTCATGGTTACATCTTGGCAGGTTCTAATTGTCTAGGAATTTATTCATTTCTTCTAGGTTTCCCAAGTAATTGGCACATCATTGCTCATACTAGCCTCTAATGATTCTTTGAATATATGTGGTTTCAGTTGTAATGTCTCCTTTTTTATTTCTGATTTTTTTGGATCCTCTCTCTTTCTTAATCTAGCTAAAGCCTTGTCAATTTTATCTTTTTTAAGAAACCAACTTTTTGTTTCATTAATCTTTTCTAATGTTTTCTTCATTTCAACTTCATTTATTTCTGCTCTGATCTCCATTTCTTTTTTCTTCTACAATTTTAGGTTTGGTTTGCTCTTGCTTTTCTAGTTCTTTTTTTTTTCTTTTAATTTTACCTTTTTTTTTTTTTTCATTTTACATTTTTTTCACTTAGCTTCAGAGTTTTTGAAAACAAGCCAAAATCAGTAAGTGTTAAGTGTATTCATAGGTCTAGCCATTTGGGAATTTCATATTTTCAAATTCCACTTTAATAAGTAATGCTTATTCTACTGGCCTTTATTTTTAAGAGGGCAGCTTAAAGTAAGCTGTAGGTAGTTGTCCGGTTCATACCTATATAAACTTGCAAAGAAAAATAGGCAGTTAGCCCCCACAGGAGCATGAGAAATGACTCCACCTATTTTGTATTTAGCTACCATAGTACTATGTTTCCAAAATTAATTTAAATTACAGAATTTTTCCCAACTTCACCTATTTGTTTGGAAAGCAGTTTTTCACTACTATCCCTTTTATTTAATTGAGGCAATTTAAAGGGGACTTGTCTCACACAATGTTCAAAGTGTCACTTTACAAGTGTTTCTCAATTATAGAGCTTTTCATGATTCTATCACCTTCACCTCTAAATTAGCCATCATATATTAATGTGAGACCATCCAACTACTTCCTGTAAGTGAAATGCATAACTTGAGTATTTATAATGTGCTAGGCATTTGGCTTATTGTCATTATGTTATTATTTCTTTTTAGTAACTTTTTAAAGATACACTAAATAATTATTTGCTAGGCACTGGCCTAAGCACTTTGTAAATATTAACATCATTTTGAAGTTTCTATTTATTTATCTCTAATTGGCATATTAAAATTTTGTATATTTATGGGGTAAAATGAATTTTTTTGAGGGGAAGTCTCACTCTGTCTTCCAGGCTGGCGTGCAGTGGCGTGATCTTGGCTCACTACAACCTCCACCTCCCGGGATCAAGTCATTCTCCTGCCTCAGCCTCCTGAGTAGCTGAGATTACAGGTGCCCACCACCAGGCCCAGCTAATTTTTTGAATTTCTAGTAGAGATGAGGTTTCACCATGTTGGCCAGATTGGTCTTGAATGCCTGACCTCAGGAGATCCACCCACCCTGGCCTCCCAAAGTGCTGGGATTACAGGCATGAGCCACCACGACTGGTCAAAATGTGATATTTTGATCTATGTATATATTGCAGAAAAATCAAGCTGATGAACATACATCCATCCCCCTTCCCAACTTATTTTTTTGTGGTGAGAACATTAAAAATCTATTATTTTGCCAATTTTGACATATACATTATTATTATCTGTGATCACCATATAGTACAATAGATAATTCCTCCAGTCTAACTGAAACTTTGTACCCTTTGATCAACATCTCCCCTTTCTGCATCCTTCATCTTCCCCATAACTCTGGTAACCATCTTTCTACTCTGTTTCTATGAAATCAGCTTAAGATTCCAAAGACAAGTGAGATCGTGCAGTATTTATCTTTCTGTTCCTAGTTTATTTCACTTAACATAATGTACTCCAGTTATATCCATGTTGTCACAAATGACAAAATTTTTGAACATTTTTAATTCACAACATTTTAAATTCACATAAAAAACCATGAGGTAGGTACTACTGTTAAACTGGTTTTTGCTTTTTTTGTTTGTTTGTTTGTTTGTTTGTTTTTTGAGACAGACTCTTGCTCTGTCGCCAGGTGCCAGGCTGGAGTGAGGTGGCGTGACCTCCGCTCACTGCAACCTCCGCTTCCTGGGTTCAAGCAATTCTCCCGCCTCAGCCTCCGGAGTAGCTGGGACTACAGGGGTGCGCCACCATGCCCAGCTAATTTTTAAAATATTTTTAGTAGAGACGGGTTTCACCATGTTGGCCAGGATGGTCTCGATCTCTTGACCTCGTGATCCGCCTGCCTCGGCCTCCCAAAGTGCTGGGATTACAGGCGTGAGCCACTGCGCCTGGCCAAACTGGTTTTACAGATGCAGAATGTGAGACACGGTATATAAAGAAGCCAAAATACACAACTAGTGAGTGACAGAACTGAGAATGTAACATGGGCAGTCTGTCCCCAGGTCCCTCCTCTTAACCATCACACTCTCCTATTTTGCCGGTAACCAGCGTCTCTCACTCTATAGACGCATTACACTAATAAATCCTAAAACTAGTATATGAAGCAATGTGTCATTCTTAATATTTAGTGATAAGTGCCTAAAATGCAGGGGGCACTAGCTTAAACACAGGAACCATTCCCTTGATGTTGTTTTAGTTCACAGAACTGAACCAGAAGAGGACTCCATCACTGTCCTCTCTCCCCTCACCCTCCTTTGTGTGGGACTTCATCCAGATTATAAAGAACATATGCAGACACAAAATTTCTCTAGAATCACATCATTTGGAAACTTGTCCAGAAGACATTTTCCTACTAGCTCCAGCTCTACAGAGAACAAGCCACAGAGAGCTGTACAATTGGGCCCCTGTTTGGGATTCCAGGACATGCCTGTAACCAAAATGACAGAATCTTACATTTGGGTAGGCGGAGACAAAAGCCCACTATTGAAGCTTGGGGGTCAGTTGGTGTTTAGCTCCACCCACCGAAACCATAGTGGAGTAAGAGTAGTTTGCTCAAAAGAGGGTGTCGGTTGGAAAGAAAACAGAGCCTGTTCTGATTTGGATAGACTAAATTATTTTTTTATTCTATGAATGAGTGTTATTATTGGCCCACTTACCAGTAAGCTCTAGTAAAACTCTGGTGAGCTGTTAAGAAGGTAACTCGTTCACGGTTATGCAACAAGGAAGGGACTGAATCAGGATTTAAGCTGAAAATAGTATCCAGATTTTAACCATTAGTCAGTTTATAGTAAGAATTCCTCTGTGTCCTATAGTTGTATTTAAGCTCACACTGACTGGGGAAGAAATGCATTGTTTCCTGTGCCATTCAAAAGAAGGAAGGGAAACTAAACAGGCTGATAATCTACTTTGAGCCACTCGCCTTGCTACATGCTTTAACATATGATCTTATCTGTTTTTCAGCTCAATTTTAAGAAGGAGGTGTATTTGTTTTTTTAACTAATTGTCAGTTGAGTAACAAGCTCAAGGCTATACATCCAATTTTATTTAGAACCATAATTCCAACTAGGGTGTATTAGAAACCCATGCCTTTGAAGTAGCTCAGAGGCGCTCATGCTTTCAAATATCATGAACCAGTGAAATATTTTTTTAAAAACCATTTAACTAACCTAAATGAAGTATAAATTTTCTATTTTGTCATCTTAGGACATATAAAAACAAACTAAAACAGGAAAGAAGCAGAAAGAAAACAGGAGAAGGATATAGAGAAGAAAGAGGAGAAGGAGGATGAGAAAAGGGAGGAGGAAAAGAAGAAAATACACACAAACACCCTCCCATCTATTGTAACCTTCATTTTGTAAAAGAAATCAGCGCTTTTATAGTAGAGATCATCCCATGTTTTAAATGAGAAATTAAAATTCAGAGAGATTAAATGACTAACTTTTCTAAAGTCACAAATAGCCCACCTCTTTCTTATTTATGCTATTGATCTCCTCTTTTCTCAGTTCTGAATGCCTGACCTGTATCCTATGCTTTTTTTTTTACTTATCACCCTGTGTCTAGAGGGAGGTAAAAAGAGAAGGACCCAAGCCCAGCAAAAAGCAACAATAAATGTACATTCATGGAGATGCTGGCAGTTGACTTAAACTTGAGCCACTTCTCAGAAGTAGCACCTATCGCTTTCTGACATTTGTTTAGTGATTTTTATTTACCAAACACTAATAAGATCATAATCTCTGTACAAAGGACAGTTCTTAACATTGTTTAATTTTTCTGTATAAAACATGTGGTTTTTTTCACCCAGGACCTTTAAACACTTAAGAAGAACCTCTTTTGGCACCAAATTCAAGAGGCACTCTGTTGTTCATTCACACTGCGCACCAAACGAGTAGTGTTGCCTGGAAATTAGGTCTCCAGAATGCAGGCATCTAAGATGGAAGCACTCTGCCACAGCTTCCACAGAGCTTCCTCCTCCTTGTCAAGGTGAAAATGAATCATTTACTATATTTCCTTACTATTTTTTTAAGTTCAATTCAATCTTTAGCTATTTCCCGTTTCTAGTTTAAATTGTTACTTCCATCAAAATATAATGCCTTATCAGATATCTTATGGGTATGTATCCCCCGCCCCAAAAAAAAGGATTTGTGCCACATACTTAAAATAAATATAACTTGGTCATTGATCTGGAAGAATAAAATCTTCTCTTTTGTTTTAATGAAATAAAAGAATCTCATCCATGTTGACTGGCAAGTGTTTTCTATGTGCCGTGAAAAATACACTATGTAGGTTGTTTTTTTGGTGTGTGTCCTT